TGCAATTAAAGAAAGAAAAACCAAGCCAGTCCTTACTGGGCCTGACCAGAGTGAAGCTCAGCAGTTCTGAGGCTGCAGAGCAGGCAGCCAGCAGGCAGCCAGGGAAGAGCCTCATCACACTCCTCCCTCCCTGCTGCTTCCCCAGCCACCTTGGGAAAGAAACTGGTGAATTAGCTGTTTTTCCTACAGCCTCTTTCTTTCCAAGAGGAGATGAAGGAGTTGCAGTGGCAAAGTGTGTGTCAGCTGGAGCAGTTACTGCCCAGGCATCTGGCTGTCCTCCCCCTGCGACTGGAAGGGAGGGAAGGGGTGGAAGGGGAGAAACAGCAGTTCTCTGGTTTTAATCCAATACTGAATGTCCACTGAAATCCACAGCAACCTGAGCAGCAACAGTGCAGTGAATGGAAATCAGGGAGTGCAGAGCAGAGAACAGGGATAACTAAAGAAAAGGAAATTAAATTAAGGTAGAAAACTGGCAGCTTCTTCCCAAAAGATCAACATATCTGTAACCAAAAACCATGTAAAGTGCCTCATTAAGCTGACTTCTCTGTGCAGATCTGTACCGAGGTGAAAAATCTGTAAGCAACATCAATATTTAGAGGAAAAATAGCCAACAAGTCACTCCCTCTGTTAGGACCTGGACTATATTGCTAACAGAGGTTGGGAGCAGTTTTCCCGGGGATTATTCTCAACTGAATGTGGCTCTTTCTGCCCAAACAACAACAGGAAATTTGACATAGTTCTGGTGAAAAAAGAAAAGCAGTAACAATAGCAATAAAAATACGTAGTACTCCAGAGCACTCCACACATGGAGCACTGCACGAACACCAGTTTCTCCTCATCAGCTCCATGAAGCAGGGATGTATTATTCATAGCCCCATGACGCCACCGCTGCAGGTTCCCGTTACTTCTTTTGCTCACTTCTCATTCCTCTTCTCTTCCACAGGCAGAATGCATCCCTCCAATCTGTCTGTTCTCCTTCAGTTTCTCACCCACCTACTCTGGCACCCCTGCCCTCTCTGTTCCCAGTGCTCACCATTTTAAGGCACACAGGGGTGGTTTGTGTCCTTAGCTAGAGAACGCTCTGAGCAGGTTCATCTCTGCCTGCACCACTCACACCTGATACTCTAAGATGATTTTTTTGTTTCCTGGGCAGACTGACAGCCTGCACAGCAATGCTCACCAGAAACATGCAGTCATCTGAAAACAATTCCAAAGACAGCTAATGATACCTGCACCAGCATTGTTTCCTTGGGCAGACTGACAGCCTGCACAGCAACGCTCACCAGAAACATGCAGTCATCTGAAAACAATTCCAAAGACAGCTAATGATACCTGCACCAGCACAGGCATCTGCTTTACCACCAGTCACTTCTTCTGGGAAAGGACAAATGGCTAATTTTTGAGCACTGGAGCTGAGTAACAAAGCAACAGTCATATAGTGGCCCTATAGTGACACAATAAACCCACCCCAACAAATGCTGGCGATCATAAAGTGGTCTAGTTTTCATCTAGATTTACAAGGAATTAATCATAGGTAATAAAATCTGTTATTTCTATCTTAACCTTGGAGGCCCCCATCAATTTTTACAGAAATTCATCAGTGTCACCAGTCACACACGATGCAGTCCTAACACAAGGGGAATCTTCACTCCCATACACAGGCAATATTGCAAATTTAATCAAACACATTAGCCCCTTCTTTGCTGACTTACACTATAACTCATCAATAACTGCAGAATTTTGCAGGGCAAACACTAAGTTGACAGGACTCTTTCCTCTGAGGCAGCACTTTCGCAGCGGTTTTTAAAATGCTAAGCTAGATCTATCCATCAAAATTGTTTCCTTTAGATTGAAAACAGTATTGCAAGAAAAAGGATGGCTTGCTTACCTCCCTGGCCAGAAGAATATACATGGGGAAGAGGAGACAGACACCTTTCCTGAATGGCACAGAGCCAAGAAAACAAGCATTCAAAAATCAACCACAAAGGAGACCACACTAGATTGGGTATTCCTTTAAGCACCTCAGATGCCAAAAGAGATGAATTGTTAGGTAAAAATATTAACAGGGCATCACTACCTGACAAGATCTGTCTTCCAGATGCATTTTAATTAACAGCTGTTAAAGTTTTGATTACAAAAATTTAGGCACTATTGTTTTTCTCTGCAGAAATAGGTAAAACTACCCTCAAACTGCCTCCCACCTAGAGTCAGTAAAATTTTTTGCAAGGTGCTTCAGCCCTTCTAATTCCCTTAGGGCTTAATATACATTAGGTCTTTTTATTCATCAAAAGTTTGTACTCATTGATTTTTTTGTTTCCCCTCCTTTTTTAAGGCTATCTGCATATGTAAAATTAAGACGAGAGATTTTCCTTCGTTCTTCTTTCAGAAGAGAAAACATTCAAAATGTGACAGGGAAATAACAAGGCAGATTCAGGTAAAAAGCAGAGGTTCACCTTCTCTCCAAAGCCCCTCCCAATGAAGAGCTTTCTGGCTCTCCTCCTCTCACTCCCAAGTGAGACCCCACCACAGACAACACCAAACAACTCTGCCTCAGGCTGCCAAGCATGCTTTTTAAAGAGCAGTCATGGAAAAGGCTGCCAAGAGCAAACTCCAGTCTCTGCTCATCCTGTCTCACATGGTAGTGCATAAAGAAAAAAGGCCAACAGAGGAGTCTGGTATTCTGCAACGGGGTAAAAGCTCCTAAAGTCTCCATTATCAGAGTGTGGAATAAATATGTAATAGGTTAAAGTACTTAATATCATAAATTAAGCAGGGTCAAGGCCAAGTGAACACTAATATTTGATAGATGTCATTCCTATGGCAATATTTCATTACTCTGCAGCACATCATGAAACACTTGTTAAGTTTTATGTTTGCATCTTCATTTTTTAAGCTCTTCTCATACGTTTCACAACTTAACCAACACCACATTTGTATTTTTACTGTCTTTGTGATCAGTGTGGAAGTATTGATCATGCAGTTCTATCAGTTAGTCTAGCACCAGGATTTACTGCACTGCAAACACTCAGCATCAAGCCTCACACAAAGCTTGTCAGCTTATTCCAGGGGCATGTTTGGGGTCACCTGCCAGCTCCTGGAGATTTCTTGGGACCTTCTGCTAGCTTTTACAGCTTTCTGGAATTAGTAGCTCATTAACTGCTTTCTCTGAAGACAAATATGTTGAAGCTCTTTAATAACTTCCTCTGCCAGTATCTATTTCTGAGCTTACTGATGATTCTGAAGTTCTGAACATCTCACAAGCTTTGATTTCTCGCCGAGTTTGTCTTCTGCTTCAGCACAACTCTTCATACCCCCTACAGTTATCTCCACCTTCCAGTTGTATTCCATTAGTTTTGGCTCTGTTTCCTAAAGATCCCAAACTCACCTACTTCTGGTTTTCTTTTTCTCAGTTGTGAATTCTCAGTTGTGGGGTTTGTGGGTTTTTTTGTTTGGTTTGGTTTTTTGGTTTTTTTTTTTTAAAGTCTTGACATTTCCGAATAATCATCTGTTTAGGTGTTTCTGAAACTGCCTTATTTAATTCTATTTTCATGCACTTTTATTCTAAAAACATTCTGTGGAGTTTATTATGCTTAACAAGACCAAAGTAATTGATGCCTCAGCAAACACAAGGCTCTGATTCTGAAGACAAATGCCATATAATGTTTACAAAATATTTTGGTTTTCCCTCTCCATTGTCTGAAACTTTTCAAAATAGTGCCCTCAGAGGAATGTCTGTTTCTTAGATGGGTATTTTACAACTCCAGAAATATTTTATTTGTATCTTTCTTGAACAAAATGTCAAATATATAGAAGTATTTATTATCCCTCCAATAAAAAAAAAAAACACAAAGGAAAACAAAAAAGCCCAACACAACATCTATAAGAATCAGGTTTACTCAGATAACTGACACTGATTCTTCGAAGTACAACATTCACCTCCCAAACATTAAGATTGGAGTTTTTTCCTGGAAACTATTTTCTGATCACACATACTTAAGAATAAATTAAACCTAAATGTTCGAACTTTAAAGAAATTAATTTCTAAGTTTTAAAGGTATTAAAGAAAATTGAGGATAAAGTGATGGTAAGCTACAATCAAAACAAAAATAGTTTTAATTCCCTGTAAAAGCTTTTTGTGCAGCGCTGGTTAGAAGTTTGTTATTAGTAAGGAAGCACGTTTGAGGAAGCCACAGGTAATTTGTATTTATTTTCAATGAAATCCTGCCCTCTCGTGTCAGACTGAGGTTTAGCATGACTCCAGTCGAGAACACAGGCACGAAGACCACTGCTAACTCCAGAAAGCACCAACCTTCCAGCACTCTTCCTTGGGAACGTGCTGCTTTCAGTGACTGGGGAACACACAAAGCAGCTGCTCATAATCTAATGCCCTCTCTGCCACAAGAATAAAACGAAAGTGCTTTCTGTTTTCCTCATTATCTAGGCCAATGAATATCTGCAAATTGACTGTAGTTTAAGTGCACAGATAATTCTGGAATTAGCCTCTTCCACCCTCTTTTGTATACATTCAGTAGAGACAAAAAAAAAAAACAAAAAAGGTTGTTCTCTGACTCTGACAAAGTAGAAAAACAGCTGAATCACTGGGACTTTCAGTTTTGTTTCCTAACCCTTCTCCCAGTTAGTGTACTGTAAAGGCATCTACTGTCTTAAAAAGAGAAGGCCAAGCACAAAGTCTGAGTCACAAGTGACCTGCAACAGCCCACTGAAGACAAAATCTGTACATCACTTCGTGCTGACAAGATCCTAAAGTCAAAATCACTGAAAACTACCATCACTACTACCTACTACACACATTTCACAGTCTGCATGAGCAATAAATGTTTCTCCAGCTGCATAAGTAGCAAGGCTGTCACAGAATACACAGTGCAAGACATCAATTGTGGACAGTATCTACAGGAGGACAAAACTTCCATACATACTTGAAATTCAGAAGAAGAAAAGTTAGACACCTTCAATAGAAGTAAAAAACAAGTAACACCTACTTTCGAAGGTGTTCATGTTCCTTCAGGAAAAGTTCTGTTCTTCTGTTATTCACCCCAGACCCACTTTTGTATGACCTAAAACGTAAAAAATGATGAGTTGAAAAACATTTTTTCCAGTGGCTTTTCATAAGACAATATAATGGATTTACAAGCCTACCATGCTTTGCTACTCTGAAGTGGTGAAACAGAACAGTTCCAGACCTTTTAATGTGATTTAGCATAGCTTAATAGTTTTAAAAACATTCATTCCTTTTCAGTTAAAAGAAAACCCCAACAAACCAAAACAGAATCTTATTGCAACCTTAATAAAAGTACTGAATTGAAGTAACTTTTTTTGCTCTGCTCAGAGCAGAGATGAACAAGCTTTGCCAAGGATTCTTCTTCCTCCAGGAGGGCTGGTGCCCTCTCCCAAGGACAGTGCCATGCCCCTGCTGCCCCACTCCCAGCCACTTACTCAATATCTTTCCTCACTGATCCCAACAGGTTTTCCCGTTCTCGTATTGCCAAGAAGTTTGCTTTGGTTTTGTGGAACTCGTGTGTGTAGTCCTGTAATGAAACAGTCACTCCAGAATGAGGATCACGAGATCAGCTTAACAAAACAATACGCTCAAATAAGATCCAACCACCTTTTCAAATGTTAACTGTTCTCTAACATAAAGTGCAAGACCAAATTGCTAAAGTAACATGAAAAATGCGTGGAAGTTAGTGCACAGTGTTTTTAAAACTCACTGCTCTTGCAGCACTGGCTGACTTCTGAGAGCTACAGCTGAAGCCACAGCGGGACACCCACTGTAGCTCCTTGTCCCAGTTTCATGTATCTTCACCTTCCTGATGAATTCTCATTTGGTGCTGGAATCTCCCATTACTGGTTCAGTGAGAAGCCCTAGTAAAACCCACCTGTTTGGTGTGGGGAAGATGCTCTTGGGTTTATTTTGTTAAGTTGCATCAGATGAAAAAGAAAAAAGTCTTTTCTGAACAGTGAAGACAACCTTTTTTTCCCCTTGATGTTCAAGCTATAATTTCACAATTGAAAACATTCCAGGCAACTAATGTTTCTTGAGAACCAATTTAACTGGCAACTGATATCCACCAAAACCACAGTAACATTTGAGAGAATTTCTCATGTAAGTGCTCTGGCTTTTACAAAATGCTGTGCTTTTGATATTGTCTATTGCATAGGTACAAATCAGAAATCAAACAGTATAAATGGTGGCAAATAATAAAATGTGTATTTTTTTGACAGTACTATACCATGAAAGTATCACCAGTTTGAAACACTGATTTGTAACATTAAATAATAGCTTCAGCCATCACATTCCCTTCAACTCTCTTCAGCAGTTCAGAGGGGTTTACAATCATATTTTCTTAAGTGTGATGTTCCCTCTCATATTGCATGTGACAGACCCCACAGACAAGACAACCCATTCCCATTTTGCTGCACAGAGGACACATCCACATGATGACAGATGTTACTGTTCTTCTTGGCTACCTGCTAGTCACCAAACTGACATCAAAAAACGCTCTGTTCTCAGCTCAGAGTTCACTGACTGCAGAGAAGAAAAGCGAGATGGAATTGGTGACATTTCAACCTCCTGGCAAGACACTTCTACCTGCTGTGGTATGAGTGCTGCTGAACGTTATTCCAGAGGAGCTCAGGCAGCCCAGGCAGGGAGGTGTGTTACCTGCAGGATGTCTCTGTGGCGCTGCAGGGTGTGCATCAGGGCGGCGTTGAGGGAGGGCACACCGGCACTGCTGCTGTACTCTGCCATCTTGTCATTGATCCCAGTGAGCTAGGGGGAGAAAAGAAGAAAAACCAAACACACCACCCAGTCCCATGAAAGAGCTGATTCTTGCAGGAGTTTGTTCTAATGACAGACGTGTTGCTTTGCAAACACTTGTCCAACGCCCACAGCAGCACTTCCTAACGTTCATTGCAGAAACCTGCACTGCAAGGTTTTCTAGGTGCTGTGTAAAACCACAGTAACTCAAATTACCTTTCCCAGAAGCTGTTCAATCTCCACAGCCATGGTCTCAAACATTCTGTCCTGGCTCGATCCATTTAAGAGAGGAGTTGTGTCAGAGCTGATGGAAAAGAGGAGCAGCAGTTAGTGCAAAGGGCATCACGAGTGCAAGAACTGAGGAGGCAACAGTGTCAGGTGTGGGCAAGTTCTGCTACTCAGGTTTCCTAGAAAGATTAAACAAACTCAGAAAAATTACTTTTTCTTATCATACATGCCTTTAACTCTTATAAGAGCTAACAGTGCAGTATCATTCAAAGAAAACAGAACCTCTCCTTGGAAGATATGCCTGATACCACACACTTCTCTGCTACCAGCACACATCAGCACCAATGCCCTTCTCTCCCCAGCTTTTAAGCAAAATTTATTTATTGGCAGAAGGGAGCACTGCATTATTAGCATGTTACAACAGCTCCAAAATTACACCTTAATAACATAGTGCTAAGACTGACCTCTTAAGCAATCAGTGTGCTGCAGAGCAATACAAACTGTGTAAGTCACCACAATTGCACTTTCATGCCTTACACCCTCCTCAGGCTTTTTAAGATAAACTAAACCCACAAGGAGAAGTCACATCTAAACAGAATAGAAGCACAACACTTAAAATGCTAACCTGTAGAAATATGACAACTAATACTCTCCAGAGACTACTCTTTGCTTTGCTATTCTAATTAGGGGAAGTAAGTTTTGCACAGGAGAGCAGAAATAACAAAAATAATTAGATTATGCACAAATAACAGCACAGAACCAGACCAAGAGAGAGACTAGGACTCTGGGCCAAGAGTAACATGGTTGTTCTTGGGCCTCCAGAACCAGAAATGAATGGGAAAGTTTGAAATTTATTCAATCATCAAGTTAAACAAACACAAAGATCAACCCAGATTCATACAGGAGTCACAGGGAACTGACACACGGTGCTGGGACTCGCAGTGAGTACACAGAGGATGGCATTTTGTGATGGTGTGCACAGGGACAGAGAAGCTGATAATTAGTGCTGTGGAACTACAGGAGAGACCCCAACTCTGGCTCAGAAGCTAGAAAGACTTGGGAAGTTTTACCACATTAACTCTTCAAACATGAATCTGCCTAAAGCGAAGAGAAAACTGTTATATATATATATACACACACATATATGTATTCATCTAGTTCACACATATAAAAATAAAAATTATCTACATAGATCTCACTATTACTACTCATCTTAGAGAAAAGCCAGAAAGAAACTGCTGTCTCTTCTGCAGAGAGGGTCAGTCCCCTGTGCAACCCTGGACCAGTCACAGCTGCTCCCTGCTCCAGCTCCCTTATCATTAAAAAAAGGTATTATAAATACCACACCAGCCCACCTGGGAGGTGCAAGGCAAAATTCACCTAACACTGACATCCCTGTAAACCTCCTCCTAGTTTAATGCTGGAAAATAAGCTGGTGCAGGGAGCACTATAAAGCTACCCTGGGTTCACACACTAGCCCCAGTTACAAACTCCAGTGTGACACGCACGCTGACACGGCTGCAGCCCACACACCCTTCTGACTCATGCCCACTGTTCAGTCAAGACCAACACGGGCATCACAGCACTGAGAACCGCTGAAACGAGCCTCTTGAGAAGCCAAGCACAAAAGCCACAGGTGGAACCAGCACCCAGCAAATGATAAAAACGAACAGAGTGCCCCGAGCAGCG